TTCCTCTCTTAACCAAGGTTCACATTTTCTGGTTTCCTCACATGTCTTATAAATCTTAATTGTATGCTAGACTTTGTGTAACAAAGAGCAGTGGATAAAAATTAATAATATTTACCTCCAGAAAAATATACACTCTTTTTTGGGGGGGTTGGCAGGGGTGGCAGGTCACACTACTAAAGGAGCTGAGTTGCTCTGCTCTGTAGCTGAAGTTGGGTTGGTCTTGGTTGTAGTTTTAATTACTTTGTCTTAATTTAAGTTAGACTCAGTTCACCATTACCTTCAGGGTCAAAGCAGGAGCAGGCCTTCCTTTCAGAGATGCTTGGACCTAAACACTGGTAGACTCTTGTTCTTATATTTCACAGCCAGCTGCCAGCTTTTCTGCATGTCTGGGACTTTTCTTTGCTCTCTCTTCCTCTGGCGTTCAGTTTCTAAGGAAATCTCTTTCTACCTGGCCCCAGTCCCCTCGGCAGTGTAGGCCTTGAAGTCTCAAAGTATTTTGCAGGGGTTCCTCTCAGCTCTCCCATTCTTTCCCAGCCTCTGGAAGGCTGCTGAGGTATAGTTGGTAAAGACTCAGGTGCCTCTGAGCTATTTCTTTCTGCTGTCCTGCCATCCCCATCATTGAGGGACTCTGCCTTACAATCAGCGAAGGTCTGGAGAAATTGGGAGGGGTCTCTTCCCACTCGCTAGCCTCACCTCCAGCCTTGGGAATGTTGCTGCCCTCAGGGTTCTTAGCAGAGTGCCTCAGGGGCCTCCCCTTGGCTCTCCAACCCCTCTCTAGGCCTTCAGCAGGTGCTGCCTTGCAGTAGGAAAGTGCTTTGTGCATCTTGGTGGGGTAGGAGCTGGGGGTGGTGTCTCACCTCCAGCTTTTTGCCTGCTGTCCTTTGCTCATTGAAGGCCTGCGAAGAACAGGTAGGTGGTGTCAACTTGCTCTGTGGCCGGAGCTCACTGGGATTCTAATCTGTCATGCTTGTCCACACAGAGCTAGAAGTTTGTGAAGTTTAACTGGTTTCAAACAGTCTGTCTGTCTGTTCCTCATTTTCACTCTGCCAGGGATAAAGACAGCCACAGTCTCTCCTAAGAAGTGTTTATCACTTTCTATAATTGTTTATCATTTACTTTAGATTTCCTTGTGTCCTCAGCATTCAGATGAATTTTAAAATTATGATTAGTAGCTTCTCTAGCTTGTTGTTAATATTAGTGGGCAACAGTGATCTCTTGTGAATTTCTGCATTCTAAATGGAAGCATAAGAGCTGGGAATATTTTAAAATTTGGAACTGTCATAATTTGCATCTTGCTGATACTTTGACCATTGTTATGGTTTTGTAATAAAAGTGTAGTTTTAGCAAGAAATACCAGATAACTGGTGTTAAGTCAGGAAATGGCACATGGAAGCCGAAACTCCAGGCTTTGGGAGCCCATCAAGTCACCTCTGCCCACGAAGATGGGGCATCTTCTAAGATGACATTGGCTCCAGTCTTAGCCACACCTGGCAGTATGGCTCTCCTACTGCTCATTTTCTCACTGGTTTCCGTGTGAGCATCTCTCTCTCTCTCTCTTTTTAATGTAGACTATTTTGTAAAGTCTTTATTGAATTTGTTACAATATTGCTTCTGTTTTATGTTCTGGCTTTTGGCAACAAGGCATGTGGGGTCTTGGTTTCCCAAGCAGGGACTGGACCCTCACCGCCTGTACTGGATGGTAAAGTCTTAACCACTGGGCTACCAGGTAAGTCCCCCTGGCAGCATCTGTCTGGAGGCTATCTTGTTGACTCAGTAATTTTTGAAATCAACCATTAGATAGCAAAACTTTGGAAGGAGAAGAGGAAAAATAGTATATCCTCTTTTGCTTAATCCTCTTAAGCATAAATATCATCTATGCTTTCTTCATATGCTTGCACCTCTTCCTTTCTTTTACTTTGCATTTTTTTTTTTTAAACTGGGCAGAGAGTCAGCTCTCAGAACCTCTTTCCAATCAAGCCATAGAGAGCATGTCATACCCTACGTGTCCCTACCTACCATCACCCGTGGAAGTAACAAGTGCTGGGAGAGTCCTCAGCTTGCAAGATCAAGTCTAATTATACTATGTTCTGGTTCATTAACAAGACTACTTGAATAAGATTGAAGACAAAACAACAGACTATCTGTTAGGATTTGGCTGTGTGTGACCAAGAAAAAAAAACAACCCCAAAAACATAACAACCCAGAGTAACAGTGGTCTAAGTACAATAGCTGTTTATTTCTCTTTCAGACACAGGACATTCCGAGATGTCAAGGATCTGGGATCTCTTTACCTTATTTCTCAGCCATGTGTGATCTTGGGCTCATAGTCTTGGTGGCATTCACATTCTAGGAAGAGGAAAAAAAGGAAAAGGAAAAAAAGAAATGTAAAGAAACAAAGGGTACAGGTGTATACCACCTCTTACGGAAGGCCCTTAAAGGTTGTCCAGTACATTCCTACTCACTCCACTGACAAGAACTTTTTCATGTGGTAATACTTAGCAGCACAAGAGGCTGAGGAACAGAGCCTTTATTGTAGGCAACTGTTTGTCCAGCTGAAAATCAGGGGTTCTACTGCCATAGGAAAAAAGAAAAAGTGAAGTTGCTCAGTCGTGTCTGACTCTTTGCGACCGCATGGACTGTAGCCTACCATGCTCCTCTGTCCATGGGATTTTCCAGGCAGGAGTACTGGAGTGGGTGCCATTTCCTGCTCCAGAGGATCTTCCTTACCCAGGAATTGAACTTAGGTCTAATGCATTGTAGGCAGACGCTTTACTGTCTGAGCTACCAGGGAAGTCCCTACTGCCATAGAGAAAGAGGAGAATGTGTTATATATTGAGGGTTAACCAGCAGTTTTGGTCGCCAGTCAGCTCTCTCGGGAAGAATATTACAGAGTTCCAGCCTAGTCCTGGACCTTGAAATCATTTTTGAGGGGAGAGCATTTAATATGTCAATAACCTCTATTCTGATAACTGCTCCCCGTCCCTGGTAGCTCTGTGGGTCTGTAGAACCAGAGCAGTGATAGGATAGTAGTAGTAGCAGTGTAGTTGCTCAGTCATGTTCAATTCTTTGTGACCCCATGGATGGTAGCCCGCCAGGCTCCTCTGTCCATGGGATTCTCCAGGCAAGAATACTGGAGTGGGTTGCTATGCCCTTCTTCAGGGGATCTTCCTGACCCAGGGACTGAACCTCGGTCTCCCGCATTGCAGGCAGATTCTTTACCAACTGAGCCACTAGATAACAAAGGATCTAAAATATGATGTCACATAGGGAACTGCTGAAGAAACAGGATCTTTAGCTTAGAGGAAAGAAGAGTTGGTAATGACCCTTGTCTTCACATATTTGAAGTGGTGTCTTGTGAAGTCTGGATGGATGAGAAGAGCAGAATCCAGGCAGTGAGTGGAAGATACAGGGAGAGTAATACAAGTTCAATGTACAGAGGAAAACCCTAGTAGTAAGAGCTGTCAAAAAGAGGTAGTGAGCACATATTTACTGCTGTCATCCTGCCATTGATAGGTGTTGAGGACAAAATAGTCAGCAAGAAGGTCTGATTCCTGCCAGGATGGCAGCTATGCTCTAGCGAGGAAGTCAGAAGTTGATCAGATAATCAAACACATGTGACTGCAGATCATCAAATATAACAACTAGATCTTAGAACATTGATAGTGGTTGAAGTAAGGGACAGGCACCCATTTTTAGACCTTCTAGAGGATGTGCGCTTCTGTCAGGTCTAAACTTATGGTCTCTCCTGCTCATTTCTAGTGTTCTAGGTAGTGCTGCAGTGGATAGAAGGAAGAAATTTGCCTTGGAGGGCAAAATGAATTCCAAATTTGTGGGACTTCTATTGATAAAATGGACTTTTTAAAGTTTCACAGTGGTGCACCATCACTAAACCAGGTTGTGCTAACCTCTCACCTGGATAGAGAATGTTGGTTGATCACATGTGAATTCAACAACTTGAAGTCTTGAAAGACTTGAACTAGTTGATTTGGAAGAACTAAAAGATCCTCTAAAATCTGTAAATATTCTAAAAAGTTTCTGAAAATTCTGAAAAGTTTTCCCACTGAGGACTTAAAAAAAACAACCAAAAAACCCATAACTCCCTTTTGCCCAAGAAAATAACCAAGAAAGAAATGATAAAAACCCTTTTTTTCAGTTCTCTCAGTCTAAATATATCAATATACAAAAACATGGTAATTTTATGAGTGAAACAAGTTATACATAATGCATTTTTATGTTCCTAAACGAACAGCATGACTTTATATCTGTAAAGGGCACTAAAAATAAGCTTTGCATGTATTTCAGTCCCCTGCCCCCAAATTTTCTTTGAAGAAAAAATTTTTTTGTTCTTCCGTAGCTTAAAATTTCTGAAAAATCTCTGTATCTGGTCTGTTCCTTTTGTTCTTTCTGCCTTGTAGCTTGGGTTCTATTTCTGTAAAGTGGATAAGTGTGAAATTAGCTGTTCTTTTAGTCTAACTGATAGATGAGATTTAACTCTCTGTCATCTACCTGCTGGGTGTCTAGAGAGCTTGGGCTCTGGGGTGAGTGTTCTGTCCATGGTTTTTGCCAAGGTGGGCTTCATTTCTTCCCAGCTTTAGTTCCCACTAGGGCCCACCAGGCGCACTGACACGCAGTGTTTATCCAAAGAATTCAAGAGCTGTACAGCCAGAGAGTAATTTGTCTTCATGACACACCTGGGAGGCATTCGGGCAAAGAGGCTGTTACGATGGTGGGGTGTTGGCAAGAGCATCAGTTTGGAGTCTGGACAGAGTGCTTGGGGGCTGAGACTCTTGGGCTCTGCCACCAGCTTTGTAGGATTGTGGGAAGATCTTTTCCCCTCTCTGAGACCTTTATTGCTCACCAAAAGGATGAGGGTATTGGATAAAAGCTCTGTGGACCTCATATGCTCCAATGTTCTACACATGTATTATTTTGAGCCCACATTTCAAAATAAGAAGGTCGCAGCATTGATCTAAGATTATAAAATAGACTAATGAGGAAATTCCCTGATGGTCCAGTGGTTAGGACTTGGCACTTTGACTGCCAAGGGCCCAGGTTCAGTCCGTGATCAGGGAACTAAGATCCCACAAGCCATGCAGTATAGCCAAAAAAAAAAAAAAAAAAAAAAGAAAAAATCCCAAAAAATGACTAACGGGAGAGTTGCTCTTTTTTGCTTCTGAATGGCACTGCAGTTTTTTGAACAAACACGTTTGTCCACATTAACATGCTGGACAATCTTGGTTTACCATGGCAAAGAGTAAAAATAAACTCTAGGGGAAAGCAGGGTGGAAGGAAGAGAATAAATCCTCCTGCTGTCTGAAACTCTGTGGCATAGCGGTAATAATCTCAATACCCACTTTAGGCTGTGTCACCTTGCTAGCTCTTGGGGAGGAGAGCTGGAAAAGAAATGCTCCCTTAGTCTCTGGTGCTGTTTCATTGGCTTATTTCCTTCCAAAGCTGTCCCTTGAAGGCCTGAGCTTGCTTATAGTCAGCCAGCTTGATACTGGCTTTGAGCTATTCCTGACCAATGCAGTAATGACTGGCCTACCCTGCCTGCTGTGGTGATGGAGCTGGGCTCAGGAGCTGGGTGGTGTTTCTGTCTCCGTGGCACGAGAGACTGTGGGACTCCTTTGCCCTTCCAGAAATGACTCCAAGGGAAGGATTGCCAGGAGGCAGACAGGGAGGCTGCCCTTGTTTTGTTTCCAGCTGGTTGGCAGACCCAAGAGGCTCAAATGAACATCTGAATTTAAGAGTGCTTAATGTTGATTCAAATCTTAAGCTGTCTTCTAAACTTTTGAGTGGATTGGAGTCAATATGTGAAATACACATACATGCTCTTTCAAAAATGACTAATCTCACTCAACCACGCTGTTTCCTTTCTTTCTGCCCACATTCTAACACCCCCAAGGGTGGTTTCTATTTATTGTCAATAAAAGCACTTCTTAGATTGCTTAGATATGAAAATGAAAATAAATGCCTTAGTTTATATATGAAATGATGTGGGTTAAAATACATGCAGAAAGTAATTCTGAAAAATTGGAAATAACCTAAATTTCCTTCAATGGAGATTTGACAATTGATAGTAATTCACACATGAAATATAAGGCAGCATTTAAAACCATAATGGAAAAGAATATATAAAAGAATGTGTACATAGGTATCATTTTGCTCAATAACAGATATTAACACAACATTGTAAATCAACTATGCTTCAATAAAAATAAAATGATGATATAGATACATCTATGTTGATATGAAAAAGTATTCTGATATGTGAAACAGGTTAAAACTATATGTATTAGATGATTCTGGTTTGCAAAGACAAAAGTATATATGCATATACTATAAGCCTTAAAAAATTCTGTAAGAGAGGACTCACCTAGGCATGTGTATTTGGGGGCTGAAAAGAGGTTCTGGTGTCCATGTGGTCTGGACCTAAGGCCTTAATATTTTCATCACACTGTTTCAGCATTGTCACTTTGGTTTCCAATCCTCTGTACTTCATGTTAAAAAAAAAATTGAGCAGTGGACAACTCTGGTGATAGAAATATGGATGATGTGTTTTCTCCTTGGCAAGCTGATTTTTTTCTACAGTGAACATTTATTGCCTCTCTGACAAAATAGCAAAAATTAGAGAAAGGCGTCCAGGAGACCTTCCTTTGCTTGGGATGTCTTGGTTGAGATTAATTTGAGCTTCATTTCTAGTTCAGATTGCTGAATCTTCTTTTTCCCCTTACTCTTTTTTGGCTCTGAGTGCTTTCTACTCTGTTATTTTGCATATCTGTGTCCCTTTCCAGTCATGAAGATAGCTTGACACGTGGCAGATTGGGTGGAACCGTCCAAAAGAAAAGTTGGTCCTCCTCCATTTGGGTGGATCATACTGACCTCTTGGCAATTTGGCTCACCTGTTGGCAGGGGTGCAGACATTGCCTGGAAAACTAGAGAAAACCAGCAGTAGGCAGAGGACGAAGAAGTAGTTGATATGAGGAGATTTAATCACTGCGGTGGAAAATCAAATTACTGTTCTCAATTCTTCACAGCATTCAAAGAGCGTATTCATCAATGCCCTTGCTATGGCCTCATAGCAAGGGTGGTTGCAGTATACGTTCTGCCCCTTAACTTTGGGTTTAGCCAAAGAGAATATTAGTGGATGAGGGATTACAGAGGCTTGAAGAGCTGCAATTTTTGTATATCCGTGACCCACCATGAGAACTTCCTCCAGGCAACTGTTGCCCCATCAGCCTGGGCTCCAGAGTAAATATAATGCCTTCAACCCAACCTGTAGTTTGGAGCCAAGTGCTGCTGAACGGCCGCCTGAAGCGAGTTCCCCCAGCCCAGCCCAGCCTGGACTAGCCAAACCATAATCAGCCTTTCAGACTCGTGAGTAGGAGACTAAATCCTAGCTGTTTGAAACCACTGGGTTTCGGGGTGGTTTATTGTGTAGATTCCCTGAGGCTGTAACTGGTTGATACACTGGTCTAGGTCTGTTAAACAGACCCACCAGAGTCCTTGCTGGCTGAAAAGAGATTTCTGCCTGCTTGTGTGTGATAAATATGCAAAAACCATCCAAAAATGTGATGATAATAACCTGGAAAGAAAAGAATATGGTCAGCCTGACTTCGCATCCAGGGCAAATATAACTTTCCCTCCTTGATTATAAATGAATTCCAGCATTTCAATTAAGGAACTGAATACATTAAGGAATACATTACTAATATTCTAACCCTAGGTCCAGGGAAATTCAGTTTGCGGTCAATGCCTGAAAAGTTAGTGAGTCATTAAGAACAGTGTATAAGCCAGGAAGCCCCAACTGTACCATTGACTCTGGACTTTCTGTCAACCTTATTGTTTTTCAGAGGAACTCCTTCCTCTCGTTTTAGCTTTGCTCTAACCTCCAGGAGACTGCTGAACAAGTCTGAGGTCATTGGAGGGATTGGTATTAGAAAATTCACAGACACAGTGGCAGCGCTATTGGGTATATTTCGCTTTCTGTCCAAGCTGAGAGGTTTCCTTGAAGCCAGGATCATGTTTAGATTCCCAAGTGCACGTGTTACCCTAAGGTTCTTTCTCCTTCTGTGCTTGGCAGGAGATGTGGAACTCGCTTGGATGCTTGCCTTGTGTGCAATCAATTCTTAATGCCTGTTAGATGGCTGCAGCACAGTCCTGGGTGGGGGGCACGCTCAAGGACACAGACTTGGGGACAGAGCACGTGGAGGTCATCAGATTGCTCCCTATAACAGCAAGGAAGTGAGGCCTCAACACATAGCACACCCTGCAAGCAGTAGGGCTGGAACTGAGCTAGAAACCAGAGCAGCAAGACCTTTCCCCCCTGACTTTGAATGGTTGCTGTTTAGTTGTCACGTCATGTCCAACTCTTCTGTGACCCCATTGACTGTAGCCCGCCGGCCTCCTCTGTCCATGGGATTTCCTAGGCAAGAACACTGGAGTGGGTTGCCATTTCCTTCTCTGGGGGGTCTTCCTGATCCAGAGATCAAACCTGTGTCTCCTGCGTTGGTAGTTGGATTCTTTAACCTTGAGCCACCTGGGAAGCCCAACTTTCAATGATACCCATAGATTTTTGGCCCTTCTTACCTTTTCTCTGCAGGATACAGACTGAATGGGAATTTACTTATGAGGCTAGTATTTTTTTTTATTTATTTTTTATTAAAAAATTTTTTTTTATATTGAAGTGGGTTTTGTCATACATTGACATGAATCAGCCATGGAGTTACATGTATTCCCCATCCCGATCCCCGCTCCCACCTCTCTCTCCACCCGATTTGAGGCTAGTATTTTAAAGTGATGAACTTTAAAGCGTGGCCCACATTGTCAGTTTAGGTAGTTGGAAAATACAGAAAGGTGCAAACAGAAAACAAAGTCACCTGTGATCCCACAGACCAGATGTAGGCACTGCTGGTGTGCTTTTTTGTTACCTGAACTCACCAGCAATTTGGCATTTGTCATACATGTCATTTCATGTAAAAATTTTTGTAGGGATCACTTTGCTTTGCTGTTTGATATTCTTCGAAAATACCAGGTTTTAATTGAAAAATAACCCATCATGATCTATTGAGCTTTTCTACTCTTGATGGGTATTTATTATTCATCCAGTGTTCATTATCACCAATAATGCTGTGATGAGAATTCTTTCCCAGAAAGGGAATGGGAGTTACTTTTAGAAGTCCTCATGCTATGTGATGGGCTTGTCAACACATTACTGTTTATAGATTAGTTTATGTTACACTTTTGATAAATACTGCAAGAGTCACTAAGCAGTTTCCTACCTTTTGACTATAAAATTATTTATATTCCAGAAAATAATTTGAAATATGACCCAAACCTATGCTCAAAATTTCTTTTGCTTCATTTTGTTTTTAATGATAGTAAAAGATTGAAAAGAGAAATTCCCCGTATTAGGAAATTAATTAAATAAATGACAGCTTATTCTTCTGATTGAAAGTGATACTTATATGAGTTTTAAATAATGGAAATATTGATTGTTGTTTAATTTCTAGGTTGTGTCTGACTCTTGTGACCCCATGGACTGTAGCCTGCTGGGCTCCTCTGTCCATGGGATTCTCCAGGCAAGAATACTAGAGTGGGTTGCCATTTCCTTCTCCAGGGGATCTTCCTGCCCCAGGGTTCAAACCTGTGTCTTCTGCATTGACAGGCAGATTCTTTTACCACTGATACATCAGGGAAGCCTAGAAATGTTGATAGTAAATGTAAAATAAGAATATAACATTTAATGTATTGTATGAGCTTGACTCCGAAGCAACATGCACAGGAAAGAACTCTACTAAATGCCAGTATAGGAGGAGACTCTTTGGGACCCCACAGCCTGCCAGGCTCCTCTGTCCATGGGATTTTCCAGGCAAGAATACTGCAGTGGGTTGTCATGCCCTTCTCCAGGGGATCTTCCTGACCCAGGGATCAAACCCAGGTCTCCCACATTGTAGGTAAATTCTTTACCATCTGAGCTACCAGGGAAGCCCAGTATAGGATCAAATGATCTTTTTCTTCTCTCTGTACTTTTTCTAGTATCTTAAATACATTACTTTTACTATCAGGAAAGA